AAAATAACATGCCCAGGCACTATATAGCTTGAGAACATGGGCACTAGCTTCAAACAAGCAAATATTTAAGGTCAAAGGGGATTTCTAATACATATCACTCTGTGGATATTTAAGTACAGCAGTGCAAAGAGAAAAAGAAATGATTTAGAATGAGAGATTCCCAGCATAATATGCCACCACAAATTCTAAGCACATTCCAAATGTTGTTGATGCATTAGGCTGCAACACCAACATAATTTCACTTGAACTCTGCCATGAAGTTATGTGATGCCATGAAGATGATGTAGCTACAAGTATGCCCCACCCTAAGTATTTAAATGCTGGTGGTTCAGCATATCTTAAGAATGGATTGTAAAAATGTCAGGCATCAATTTGTCAAATTAAATATAGAAAAATTAAGCAGGGAATTAATGGCCAGATTTATTTCTAGTGAGCTTGTGTTGTGACAAGGATTAGAACAGGTCAGCCACAAAATATTAACTTTAATATGAACACTCACAATTTTTATGCATAAAGAAGACATACATTCATTCTTGATCCTGATATATTCTGTATCAGGAATATATTGCTTGATTCTGTAAACCTCCCAAAAGAGGGGAAAGTAACTTAACCCTCACACTGACCTGTAGGATCCTGATTAAATCCCCTTACATAACATAGCTAAGAAGGCTATTTGTGGAATACAAAAAGAAGTATGATAAATAACAATTTCAAGAAGAAAAAGAGGCCATAAGAAGACCTACTTCTGATAGCTTGCAGAGCCAGTAGAAATATGCTGAAACGATGCAACATGAACAAAACCCAGCAGTGAAAAGAAAGCGGGTTGGATGTTTTAGCATTAATCAGTGTGCCACTTAGAGAATGCTGTCTACAAGGAATAAATGGTCTGGCTGCAGGAAGCCTTTTATGTTAATCATTATTAATCTAGGATGGGTATATATCTTGCTGTCTTCAGTTATGCACTGAAAAACTGATCTTCTACCTGGAAAGAGGGCACAGTGGTAAACTTTGAGTGTCTCTTACTGTTAATTAGGACATACCTATATTACCAGCTTAACAGTAGCTTTCTACTACTTAAACTACTGCAGGCCCCACACCATAGTCAAGGATTCCTGGGAATTGTAGACTGATAAGGTTATTGAGAATTCTATTAGCAAATCCCAGCCATTCACAGATAGCCACTTTCCCCAGGGCTTGTTAGTGGACAGGATTACCCTTAGAGTTTGTTAGAGTTGTTGAGAGTATATAGGTATTGCTTTACTCTGCTATTCCTTTGGTAATTTCTTCACTCCACAGCCCTGGAGCACCACCTTTTGGCAGAGGCAGAACTACTAGAGCACTATGCCTCACCCTAAACACTATGCATCATGATACTATGTACCACTATAATCATCATAATTTTTTAACAAGGCATTAAGGAAAAGTTTTGTTGCTCTCCTACTTGGGCCAACAAGTGACTCCACAGAACTATTGTTCTGAAATGATGGTTTACAGCCCAAATGGTATGACTGTCCTGCAGAGAATTCTTGTTATATTTGTTGACTTGAAAGATCAAACTTCTGTCCCCAAATGATCTCCCATGGAACTTTCCATGGATGCAACTGGACAGCCATCTGAGAGGGATGGTTTAACTCAGTATCCTATACTGAGCAGGGGATTGGATCCAATGACCTTCTGTCCCTTTCTATAAGTCAAAGATTACCAGTGCAATGAGTTTATGGGTAAAATAAAACACCCATCAAGGATGACTCTTGATATTTGAAGAAAATACTATTTATTATGTGGGATAATTAAGCACTAAAAAGAATATATGTCAACTCAAGCAGCTCTTCTTAGCCTTATGCTCTATGTTGTAGGATGAGCTAGTAGAAATGTACACCCCTGCAAATTTGCACACATACCTATATGCCACTGAAGAAAACTTTACATAGAGTACATATATATTGGTTATTAAGAGCATAATCCTATGCAAGTTTAGATAGAAAAGTGGCCCACAAGTTCCAGCATGGCCCAGGCAGAATGGCTGGCTTGTGTATATAGGAAATTGTAGCCCTTTTTCTGTCTAAACCTGCATAGGATTCCACCCCTTTATGCTATGTAGTTTGTATTGCCTAGACATACAGCATTTTAACTGTCAGATAAGTCAGTTAAATTCACTTAATGAACATATGAGACTGAGAACAGAAACAAAGGACTGATGAGATGCACTCTAAGGAAAACTTATCATGTGTTTTCATGGGCAATATAAGGAATGATTTCTGTCTTGAAAAACTGCTGAAAAATATAACCTGAGCTATTCTAGTTCTCTCAAATTGAACTTTTCTAATGCAAAGAATAGCAGCTGGATTTTCCCTCTAATCTTTCTAATCCTTTCTTTTCAACACTTTCCCTCTAATTACACCAATATATCCCAGGATTAGTTTAAGTTCTGCTCTTCATCACCATCATCACAAAACAGCATATCTAGGCTTTGAAAACCTAGGGACAATTCCTACAAAACATGAATTAACAAAGTTGTGACCAAGGAACATATTGCTTAAAATGGAGCACTGTGTGACAAGCGCGTATTAAGGTTTTTGTTCGTTTTTTAAACCAAAGAGTGACATATTTTACAGCTGGTCCTTTTTTGCAGTCCTTTTCAACTTTAGCCACCACTTAAGGTCCACGAAAAAAATATTCAGATTAATGCAAACCCTTCTGGTTTCCTTTCTACATTTCTCCCATGCTTTAGAAGTGTTTTGCCTAGAAACAAGATAATCTGCAGCAAGAGAGGGAGAGACATGAGATATTCTGTATATATTATATAATCACTGCAGCTGGTAAGCAGGGAGTAGGATTCAGGTTGCCATAGTATTTGGCATATTGCTATGGAAGCTGAGCTTTGGTCCACTTATCAGTAGTGTTGGCAGCAATAAAAAAGATATACACCATCCTGCCTGAGAGATGCACATGGTTAAAAGGACAGAAATGGCACAGCACACCTGATGCAACACAAATTCTGCTTCTTACCCTCCTCCAGGGTACTTGTATTGGTGTTAAGACAGCAATGATCTATTTTCAGTTCTATGCCTCACAGGAAGGTTTTGACCACTAGAACTGGTGTTTTTTTTAAATGTTCCCTACTATGGTGGCTACAATCAAATGCACACTTAGATTTTCCCCTCCACTAAATGTCTTTCTGGGCAAGAAGTGGAAGAGAGCACAAGCACACATCCTTTCCATTCTGACAGAATGAGCAGATGAATCAAGCTTTCACAGGGTGTCCAACCACTGGTCACCTGCTGCCATCCACTCTGGCTGAACAGCTGCTTTCTAGGCTCCCAGGCTGAGGTCTTTTCTAGCCCAGCTCCTTCAGGCCCTTATTTTACTTTCTTGAGAACAACACTAAACTGGACCTATTAGAAAATGAGTGATCAAGGCCAAATTACCCTACAGAGAGATTGCTTGCATCCCATCCTGTGACACATAGTTCCAAGAGTCTCAGTGCTAATTTGGTGAGATGAGAAGGGAGTAACAGGCTGCAGCAACAGTAAAGGGTAGATTTCTTAGGCCAACCAGCCAGTTATCTACCCATTCCCCAAAAGACCAGCAAAGCCAAGAAGCACAGAGAAGGCTATTAGAGATTAAAAAGAACTTGGCTCATAGGAAAAAGTGCGCGTGCGCGCGCACACACACTTGCGGCCGCCTGGGGATTTCTCTCTCTGAGCCAAGGCAATCATGGTCCCTTTGGTACATGATCCATCTAAGCAAGAGGAGTGGGGGTGGAACCACGCAGCAGAAACTACCGCCCTGGGTTCAAAGGGCAACCTATTTAGTAGGGATTGCCGGGAAAGGAGGGGCACTTAGTTCAAGGCAGAAGAGTGTGTATCTGCCTATCTATATGCACGCACACGCACGCACAGAGAAAAGCACCTACATCAATGTGTGCTTGGCCTGTCTTGTGAGTTCCCCCATTTTAAATGTTAATAAGAAAAACAACGTCACAGCAGTATCTTAGCTTTGGGGGGTATATAAATATATCCATACCTCCATCTGCAACACCGCAATGTTTCTCTGACTTCAGAATTTCCCTTCTGTTTATGAGAGAGAGATCCCAGTCCTCCGACTTGAGACTGACAGAGTTTAGCATAGGAAGAAAGCAAGGAGCTTCTAACAGCACGATCCTATACATGACTACTCAAAAATAAGTCCCACTGAGTTCAGTCAGGTTTGCTCCTGGGCAATGGGATAGATGCTTAGAGGTTGTCTCGCAGTAAGATATTTTAATATGGTTGGGACAGGAATGGATTGTTAAAGCAGAGCTTTCCTTCCATACTGTTACTACTACTTAGATATCCCAAGTATTCCATTTCCTCCGCTAACACAGGAAGCCTATGAAATTACTCAGACATAGGTCCCAGCTTACTCCCAAGTAAGACAGCACCATATATCCTATATTACTACTCTTCCTTGAACTTGGTGGAACTTGCTTCCGACTAAGCATGCACTGGATCAGGCTACAAAATCATTATGAATCAAGGAGAGGGGAAAAGAGAGGAATAAATGGACCCAAACTTGCCCATCCCTTCAAAAAGAACTTGAAATTTAGAGAAAATGAATCTGTCCTAAGAGAAGTAATCAAGATACCAAAGCAACCCAAACTCGTGGACATCGCCCAATTATCTTTACACTGTCTCCCATCAGAAGGCAACTTTCCTTGTTTGATGTCACCTGCCAAATATAAGGCTGGGAGTGGGTGGGTTTAGGGGTTTATTAATTGTTTTGTTTTCAGCGACCACCCGTCTTAACAAGATCACTGCATCATATCTCTTCTAATAGCAATAGCAGTCTGCTATGCATGGTGGCAGCAGAACTATCTCCCACCCGTTTCTTCACATTCGCTTCTCTAGCAGCTTCAGAAGGGAAAAAATGGGGTGGGAGTGAAGGTGGCAGAGGATGGAGAGAAGGGAGAAGAGGATTGAAAAATAATCGCCCCATCTCGAGGCTTCTTACAGTCTTACCTTGGTGGTTTTCTTCTGGAATGTACATCCTCTTGTTTTCATTGACCATTTAAGTAGAGGAACGAGGGACCAAAAAACAAAACGCCCAAGCGGGAGTTCAGATTTTAATTCCTCCAAATCCAAAAAAAAAAAAAAAAAACCGGACCAAAACACAAATCAGCAGATGGGATGAGCAGTTCAAGGAAGAAACTGAAGCTGCTGCGGCGATTAAATTTCCCCGCTTGGTTATTACCTGATTCCCATGATTGCATCAAAGCCCAAAAACTGATCCTTTCCACTACTGCCTCCTTTAGTACAATTGCAAAGCATCCTCAGAGAACATCCGGGCCCCCGCCAAAGAATTTAGCACAGCACCTCTGGCTGCTGCTGCTGCTAACACCGTCAACAAGAAGAAGGGGCTTCTTTGGATCTTTATAATTTTAAAAGAGGAGACTGGTGGGAGAAGAGAAAAGATCACCACGAAGAGAAATGAGAGAAAATGGAGCAGAGAGTCCAAGCATCCAAGAAAGGGGGAAAGGGGGGAGGAATCTCAGGAGGGTTCAAATGTCTCTTGACTTGTTTAGATCCACCAACTGGAGGAGGAAAGCAAATGGGGAATTGCAATCTAGAAGAGATGTTCGAAGGCTGCTGTTTCTCCTTTTCAAAGCTATTTCCGTGCGTTGTGTTGGCAGAGAGCTGTTTCTGCAGAGAGAGGGAGAGAGTGCTAGTCGCAGCCCCTCACTCCCTCCCCTCCCTCAGCATAAGACTCCCTCCTTTTTCGCTTAGACAGACAGACACCCTGAACATTTCCAGATATTCCAGCTGGGGCAGCGGCAGCAAACCCGTCCCCTCCCTTCGCTTTTAGGAACCGGCGGACTTGATCTGAAAGTTTAACATGCCTTCCTCTCCCCACGCCCTCCCCTTTGCTCACTGCGCCTTGTGGTGGGTTTTGCTGTTGCTCCTGCTGAAACGGTTTCTACAGACATGACGTCAAGAAGGCAAGCTGGATCTGGCTTGCCTGGAAAAGTGGGGAGGGGGTGCTGCACAGAAAATATGGAGGAGGGGAGTCGGAGGGCTTTGAAAGATTTCCCAAACGCAGATCGCCCTCTTCGCTTAGGAACATATCCCCCCTCCATCTGATTTGTCAATATTGTGTTCTCTCGCTCACTCTAAAAAAAGAAAAAGAAAAAAGGAGGGGGGAAGAAGCCTGCAGTTTTCCACCACTGAAATTCATCTGTGATCTGCATGTTAAAGAAGAGCGAAAATAATTTTGCGGGGCTCCGTAAACCCGTTTTATTAAAACGGCATTTTAAAAAGGGCGACACCCCCCATAACAGGTCACAATAGCAATACAGGGATGCCGGTGTGTTGAACTTGAATCAATTCCTAAGGAGATGCTGGATGTACACGCACACGCACGCACACAAACACAAGCACACACGCAGCGCTAGCAGAAGAGGCACAGATGTTGAAACAGATTATTCTAGCCGAGATTTTCCAAATCCACGGTAGACAACCAAAACCCCGGTTTGAAGGGGACCTGGAACGATGATTCCTTTCTATTCATCCACCTATCCATCCTCCCTCCAGCTCAATTCTCCCTGTCGCTTGTTTGGGCCACTCTGTTACGCGTCTCCACCTTTCCTGATGGTGGCTTCTTTCTAACCTAACGTGAAACGAAGCAAGTGACCAGGAATCTGGTACGCCTTATCTGAGGTTCTCACAAGCCTGCTGCCATGTTAACAAGCGATGCACAGTGGGTCGTGTCTCGTGTCGTATATATGTGTATGCCGCGTTCCTAGTGCCACCGCTCAATGGCACTGGTTTGAGGGCTAATTCGAACCGAGAGGCTTCGTTCATGCTCTCTGGATCGCAAGGTAGCTTCACGCGGCTCAAAAAAGCGGATGAATACATCCGGCCCTAATCCTGTACATATTTACTCAGAAGTTAGTCTGGCTGAACATTGTATTCCTTACTTCCGAGTTAGAAGCACATCAGATCGTGTCTACCTCTGCACTTACTTGGGAATAACACCATTAAATTGACTTACTTCCAAACAATTATTAAGATTTTACATAATGGATAATTTTTATTTTTAATTTGGCGGGAGAACGCAGCACAGCAGATCAACTCACCATTAGGCGTGATTTCTCTAAACAGGCACTCTTATTCTAAACGTCCGCATATGTAGATCAGCTGCTGACACCACATAGGGGGCTAAAGTAGCGCAACAGTAGAGAATAACGTTATGGTTGCAAATCGGCATGTGAGCTTTAAAGGAAGGTTTTCCCGGTCAGTGATAGATGTGAAGATGGGGAAACAGCAGCAGCAGCTGCACCCGGAAGAATGGTGAATTTCATGAAAATAATGACCATAACACGTGAACTTTCCGCGGCGTGTTGGGCGAAGTTTGCTGATGTCTCTTCACCATGAACATTTCACGCCAGCCATTTGAGGACGTGCGAAGGATTAAAAGGCGCAGCTGCACAGAACAGTCGGTGACATGTGCAGCAATGACAACAGGTTGGGAGATGAGAAGAGAGATTTCAAAAGGAAATTAACCGGTCATTTGAAAGCAAAACAGCGGATCCCCAGATTCCCAGCCCACCTCGATTCTTTGTCCCATTTATATTTACATTTTTACATTTATATTTTAATGCCTTTTCCAACACCTTTTTTGCTGTATTGTGTTAGAGTACTCTTGAATTTTGACATTTGGCAGGAAGCAGCTCTTTTGAAAAAGAGTCTGGTTTTGGTAGTTTAAGGGGAGTTGCAATTAAAGGCACAACCCCTTGCTAGACAACAACAGTCCTACAATTTAACTGGGGAACGCTGGGAGTTATCATACTTTTTTCTGCTTGACCTTTAATTATTAAACATTAAACAAAAATCAGCTAAAGCATATCTGTTGCAAAAGAACTCGCCGTCAGTACAATCCAATATATGTCTATGGGCTTCCCATCAGATTTCTGTCACCATGGGATTCTCAAGCTAGTTGTCTTTAACCAGACAATACCCAGTCAGAGTTTGGGCTTGGCAAAGAAGTATTCAGGATATTCAGTCATTGTCTCTCAACTGGAGAAAACTGTAAGACTGTCTTTCTTCAGTCTTTTCCATGAGACAAAAGTGCACCTTTCCCCTCCCAAATGAGAGGGCTACAATCTAGATTTGTGCACATGTGTCTGTAAGAATGGAAACAACTTAGAAAAAAGCTGAGGGTGGTGGGGGGGGAATAGAAATGACTTAGAAAAAAGCATAGAAAAAATGAGTAAGTGGAGACATAGACATGATAGGGGTGTTTCAAATAATGCACTGTGTGGAGAATGTGGAGAGGGAGAGATTTTTCTTCCTCATTCATAACACTCAAACCTGGGATCATCCCATGAAGTTGATGAGGTATAGGATGGATAGAAGGAAGTACTTCTTCACATAACATATAGTTAAATGATGGGAAGTGGTGATGGCTGCTAATCTGGATGGCTTTAAAAATGGATTGGACAGATTCATGAGGGAGGCAGCTATCAGTGGCTACTAGCCTTGCTGGGTATGTGGTGTCTACTTTAACAGAGGTGGCATGCCTGCGCATGCACCAGTTGCTGAAGAGCTGGGCAGGCAGAGGTCTTGAACCCATCCTGCTTGAAGGACCTTGTGTGCAACTCAATATCTGAGACAACTCAAGTTACAGAACGCCACAAGTCTCTGGTTCCTCCCTTTCAAAGGAAACCAAATGTGAAGAACCCAGTACAGCCTTGGATCTCTACAACCCTGGGAAATAATTGAAATGGCAGCACCCCACCCCAGTCTTTGCCTGTGCTGCCTTCTCTAGCTCACTAACTTCTTAGATTCCTCTATCTAGATTCTGGCTTCTCGAGCATAATATTTCCCTCCTACCAAAATCATATAATTTCTTCTCTTTCTTAAGGTCTGTGCAGAAATTCCTTCTCACTGTCTCTTACCCCTGCTGGACTTCTCCTCCTCCTTAGGCCTCAGTTCTTCTTCCATCACCTAAGACAATTTAATTAATATTGTTTTATCTGGTCTGGAAGCCATTCTGAAAATGAATTTTTGGTAAACAGCAGAATATCATATACATTAAATTACTCTTCATTTACTCTATAACCTCTCTACATACTTCTGTCATTTTCCCCCTCCCATGCCCGCTTCCTTATAGCTTCCTGGTTCCACAACTCCTACCGCTTCTGAATTTCCTTTCCTGAACACCAAAGTCATCTTTTTGCCTTGATTGGTTGCAATGCACAGTCAGAAAGCTTCACACTAGATCATAATCTGATGACAAAGGTTATAAACATGGCTATATAAATGGTCAAATGCTGCTATCCTGAATCTTGAAAAGCCACAGCCCCATATAAGGCAATAGGATACACAAAGGCACACAGGTACATCTTTCACATGGAAAGACTAAGTGGGAAAAAAAACCCTTCATTGTTGCCTGGTGCCATGAACATTATCCACACAGCCTTTAAATCAGATCCTTTCCAACTAAGACTAATTTTATTTGAGGCAAGGGCACCAGACCTCAGGTGCATGGGCCAAATCCAGTTTGCCTAGGGTCCTGATCCAGCCCTTTGGGGCTTTCCCAGATGTCTACACTTCCTTCTCCTGGCCCTGCTCAATTTCCCCCATCAACTATAATTGGTGGTTCCCTGGTTCTGGCATGTTTTTCCCCTTAGTAAAAGGTTGAATTACCTTTTCCAGGACTAACATAAGAGTTTCAAGAAGAAATAGGCTCTGTTTGTGGTATTATCACCTCACTCCCTTGGGCATTGGTTCAATTTGCCTTTGGCCTTGACACTACTGGGATGCCGTCTTTACAGGAGAGCTGCTGCTTCTGCGCTCAGGCTGAAAGGGGTTCAACACTCCTAGTTTAAACAATGTGAACTGATCCAGAAAAAAATGTTATTGCTGCAGAACCCCCATTGCTCACTGACCAAGGTAATAAGTAAGTACACTTGCACAGTCCAATACTGTGCAAGTGTAATCAAACATAAGGCAGCTTCAGTAGGATTCAGTGTTTAGTAGGATTTCATATATCTTTCATCCAAAATACACTTCTCTCCCAAGACCATCAGAATTATTAAAAAACAACATATAATAACAGGATCTTATTTATTATTTTGCTTTCTCTCTGTGCACACACAATTCTTCATCCTGTTGGGCTGGTATAATTCCATTTGTCTTAAGAGATGAGTCAACAGAGAATTCCAAGTATGATTCACCAAGAAAGCTGTCCATTGCATAGATGTGTTCACATAAGAAACGTTTACAAGAATACTATTACCATACCAGAATTAGCTACCTTTTAGGACATCCACAAACCTCTTTTGACATCTCTAGTGGGGCCATGTGCTCAAGAAGCTACAATTTTGGAGACAACATTAGTTAAATGTCATCTAGCAGTCACTATAGCAGTGCTGTCTGCCAAATCACATACATATACAGGCACACACACAAGCTGTCCCTGCCACCTACCAATCTTTTTCTCCTGTCCTCATGCCTCTCTGCCTGCCAAATTCCCACCATGGGACACAGTTTGGTCCAAGTGCTGAAAATAAGGCTTGGTAGAAAAACAGCACAGGAAGCAAATATTTTTT